GAGGGTTTAAAAAAGAAATCTGGAATCTTAGGTTTATTATAAAGTAGCCAATGCCATTTGTGTTATCTGTCTATGGAGGAAGGTCTCTGGGCAAGAAAACAGCAGTTCAGAACAACTTTCCTCAAATCCTCTAAGTGAGGGTTCTCAGTAATGGATCTGCGCATGTAACAATAAGGCTCGTCTTCTCAGTGCCCTGATCTTTCCTTTATGAATGTGTAGGAATTATTGCTTTGGGTTCACACCTTCTAATCAAGAGGAACTTAGATCAGATGTGAATTCAGAAAATATATTCCTGGGGGTAGATTAGTGTTTTCTCTTGAAGACCCGCTCATGCACACTGCTGAGTCATAAAACTCTTTCATGATGATCACCTCACCAATTAAATCTGCAACCTTTTGAATGCCACCTTGTGCTCTACCCTTGAGGGATAGCCCTCCCTGGCCCTGAACTATAAACTTTTTTACCACAGAAATATAACCAAAATAAAGGAGCTATTTTTAATTACTTCATAGCTTTGGCCACAAAGGGCTTCTCTCTAATCTCATGGTCTCGATTGTACAATATTACGTTATGCCATTGCATATATCACAAGGAATACTTAAAAAAAAAAAAATCATTGTATTTCACTCATTTTGGTGTTGGCTGAAAGCTACTCATTGGTTGTTTAAATTTACTACTACTTATACTTTTTTCCCCCTTAGGGGGAGAGTTATTATTCCTCTATTTTTTTAGAAGACTATAACGAAGAACTATGTTTTAAGAATATTTTAAAATATTTTGTAATGTACGTTTCCTGCCCTTAGTGGGGTTGTTTTTTTGTTTTTTTATGGTTTCGTTTTTGCTTTTCAAAAATACCAGTTTCCAAAAGCTGTTTGCAACAATGCCAAAGAAACACTTTCGAGAGTGTGCCACCTTGTGGTCAAAAAGCGCAGTTGTCCTTTTAAGCCGTCCAAGTCATTGGCCGAGCGGCTGCGTGACGTCATCAGAAAGCTTTGTGGAAAAAGAAGGTTTATAGGCCGGAGGTGTTCAACATTAATAGAACTGCTGAGGCTAAGGGAAGTGTCATCAGTCTTTTTAAACAAAATGTTCACAAGAGATCTGGGATAAAGCAGTAGGCATAGGATTTATATATCACACTAAGCTATAATATATTTTGCTTTGGGGTTAGTTTCATCTACGCACAGGCTCAATGAATAAATCATAGTTTGTTTTAGAACAGGAGACCCCCATTTGAAACAACACATTCCTCATTTGCCTATTATAACGGTATCTTACTGGTTTACTCCTGATTTGTTTTGTGCCTTCTCCAAGTCTAATCAAATCCACAGAGACACAAGGCAAGAACAGTTTCTAAAAGAGAGAAAAAGCAATATCCGGTCCCCCCCACTTTAGAGTTTTGTTTCTGGCTTTTTCAACCACACAAACTCCCTGTGAAAATGATATATGAATGCAGCTGGGAAAGGGCTCTGACTGACAAATTAACAAACCCAAAGAGATAATCTAGGGATGTTTATTGCAGGAAGGAGGGTGGTAGGGTTTTTTTGGCGGGAGGGGCTGCTTCCAACTCATTCAATCAATTATATTAAAATCAATTCCCAAATATTAGTCACACCAATAATAAAGATATTTAAAAGCTGTATAGCATTTCCAGTAGTTCAAAAGCCTTGTCTAGTTGTAATTTCTGTAACGGTTCTGTAAAGTACATTACCCTTTCCCAGGTTATAGCTGGGAAAACTGATGTAAAGATGGTTCGTGGCTCCACCACAGTCATGTAACAATTTATGCCACAGCACAGGTAGAACTCAAAGCTTTTGGATGTGTTATGCGGCTCTAACTAAAGGCTATATGAGCTCTCATTTAAAAACAAAACGTAGCCAAAAGCCAGGATGGCCCTACACAGTTGAACCAGGCCTGATTCTCAGTGGCTTCCATTGGACATTATGGGATACATACAGAGCTGTGATTTTAGTTTATTTGTTTAACCATGAGCTGTTACATAAACAGCTATAAGCTGGGTTTGCGGATCATGCTAAGCCAGAAACCAAGGTCTTCAAATCACAATGGCTGGATTTGCAGTAAGCAAATGACGTTTTCCTATGCTACGTGTGATAGGATCCTGCTATAGGAAAAAATAGCTCATTATAATCCTTACAAAAATGCACTAGTAAAGCTTGCCTTACCATTTGTTACTCACCTGTAATACACAGCTGGCGGGAAGTGCCAAGTGTGTTTTAACAGATACTCGTAAGTTCGCATAGGGCATCAATGGGGCATAGAAGCCTCTCTGTAGTCGGTGACAGAGCACTTACTGTGCTCAGTCCTTGGCATCTTGATTTGGGCTTTGAAGGTCACCTGCCTGAGTGGTTGTAGTCTGCTTGAACCTATAGACCAGTGTTTTTCAACCTCGGCAACTTTAAGATGTGTGGACTTCAACTCCCAGAACTCCCCAGCACGCACATCTTGAAGTTGCTGAGGTTCAAACACAGTGCTATAGACCAATATTTCTCATCCTCAGCAGCCTTAAAAAGTGTGGACTTGAAGTCCACATTGAAGTCCACATCTGTAATGGGGTGTGAGAATAACCTTGAGAGACAGGAGGAAGAGCCACAGCCTAGTTAATGGTCTGATAAACAAAATCTGAGTCCAACCTAGTTAAAGTATTTATGATTTTGGTTTCCTGGTCTGGACTACTTTGCAGGGCTGACAACACATCTTAAAGTTGCTGAGGATGAGAAATATTGACCTACAGTACTTGGTGTAGACAATATTGATCTACTTGGATCAGTAACCTGGTTCAGAATAGGGTAGCTTCCTAAGCAATATCCAGTGTGAACTGAATTTGCATTATAAAATACGCTCCTGGATTTTCTTTTGCAGTCCTCAGGATTTTCTTCCAGAGTAAAAATAATAATAACTGCCTCTAATTGAGCTTGACCTCTAGTGTCTACCGTGCAATTTTCTTGGCAACAGTATGGAAATAGTTTCCCAGTACAAATCTAGTTTTTTCAACTTCCTAGTCCAGCCCCGGGGCTTCTTGTTGGTCTCCCATCCAAATACTAACTGAATAAAACCCTGCTTAGATTTCCAGGATAAGCTAAGGGTCATAGCAAGCTTGCAATTCAGGATTTCAGCCAAGAACAAAATTTCTGCAGGTATCTTCCTTTGTACCTCCAGGCTGCTTGCCTTTTTTGTTTTTTATCCTCTCATATGCAGATAAATAAATAAATAGGAAGCGTGCATGATCCAAAGTACCAGCCTCTTCCTTTTTTAAGAAGTTCACAAGAATGTCTTTGAGCCCCACATAGACACCCATACTTTTAGAAAATAATACAGTTGGTTGCAACCCAGTAGGCATACTCATTTAGCAATGGCAAATAAACTGAAGAGCAGTGGTTGTAGCACCAGTTTGCCTCCCCCGGCTTTTGATATTTTGTTACTGTACATTCCTGCCATAGCAGCTACAGTACTTTATAAACAGGCAACTATCCCCATGGAAGCTATTTTGTGAAAGTATGGGCAATGTGATGTCCATATTCCAGTGTGAGCGCTGGAATAACAAAGGTTGCTTTTACTTAAAGTGGAAAACCTGTGGTGCATGGATCATGTCACGTTTATTCTGAACTAGTTATTTTGCTGTGTGTTTTTTGACCTGACTTCAGGTGCTGGTTTTAGCCTTGACAGCCTTAACATATTAGAAGAATAAGCCAGAGCTGAATGAGGCTGAGAGACCAGCAACAGAGGCTCTGTTCTCTGGCAGTTTTAAGCCTTACCTAATAGCTAATAGCTAATACCTAAACTCTTTTTCAGTGGTGGGCCCATGCCTTTGGAACTTTCTTCCTAGGCCAGTGTTGTCCAAACTTGGCCACTTTAAGATGAGTGGACTTCAACTCCCAGAATTCCCCAGCCAGCATGGCTGGCT